TCAAACACAGGCCTCAGAGGTTGCCATTCCTATGCTTTCCAAAGCTCATCAGCTCCTTTCTGGCAGGCAGTTAGTCAGGCTGGGATCCCCCAGCCCTGCCCCGACCAGCACAGCCGGGCAGAGCCGTTCCAGCCATCACCTCGGGCTGGTGTTGGCCTCCCCCCATGCTCTCAGCTGACAAGTCAGGTTCTTTCACTCATTCTGGATGATGGTGATGTTTTTATCCCCAGCCTGTGCTGGTGCTTGCCTCCGGGCATCAGATGGGTGCCCCAATCTTTCTGCTCATGAAAGCTGGGAAGAAGCACCCAAGGGCTGCTCCCTTTGGGGCTGCCATCAAACTGCTGGGGCACAACTGCACGCTGTGCGGGTGGCTGTACCAGTCTGCCAGGTGCAGACCCTCCTGTCTTGAGAGGCCCCAGCACAGGTTCTAGGAGCTCCATGTGCACAACCAGAGCTTGTCACAGCTGTCTCTTGCCAAGCTGCTGGCTCAGCTGGTCTGGGCTGCACCCGGTGCTGCTGAGCCTCAGGCTGAGTTTAGGCTGGCTTGTTCCTGCCCTCCTGCCGTAGCACAGGTCTGCACAACAAGGCACAGAACTCAGGGCTGCACCTGGATCCCACCTTTCCTCTATTTCCTGACTCAGCTTTTCCTCCTCCAGAGGTGTTCCATCAATCACCCTTAACCCCTTTTTGTATCCACACAGAGATTAGCCTCACCGGTGGCCCATGGTAGGGACTTCCACAGCTTAAGCTATGATGTCACATGAAGAAATATCTCCTTTTGTTTCTTTTGAGTCTTGCACTTGAGTATTTCATCAGATGTCTCCTTGGGTTTTTAAGAAAACACACTTGGTCACTTATTCCATGGCATTCAGGCTTCACAGATCTCTGCTGCAGACCTCAGCCATCTCTTTTCTGGCTGCAGTCCCAGTCTATCGAGCCAGCCTTTGCACGGGAAGTGTTTGGAAGTACTGTGCTTTGCCTGAATCAAAACTCCAGCTCTGCCAGCCCCAGCTGAGATCAGAAGCCAGCAGGAGCACGCAGAGACCCAGGCAGCTCTGCAGGGAAGCATCAGGAGTTGCAGAGCAGCTCTGCCACATCCCCCTCTCCCTTTGACACCTACTTTCTCTCTGAAGGCTGCCCTCAGCAGCCCTGCCTTTGCACCAGGGAATGGCACAGGGCAGGCAGAAAGCTCCTGTGCATGCAGTTCTAACTGTACAGATGCCAAACATCTAAGGAATTGGTGCAAAACACGCTCAATCAGACGCAGTCATCACATTCCTCTAACCAAGGTATGTTTGTAAATTAAGGGGTTTATCACAGGGGTAAGGGTCAAAACTGAGACCCAGCTGTGTGTACACAGGTTTTATTTTGAAGCTTGACTACCTAGGAGGAGCTCATTTCAAGGCACTGAGGATGCCCAAACGTGAATACGTTTCAATGTATTTGCACAAACTTGTGTTTTTCAGTGAATCCTGATCCCTAACGACATACAGACCCTTATGTCAGAGGTAATCAAGTGTTATTACAAGAACTGCTGGCTGTGGGGCCCCTCCTGAGCACACACATGGATACATATGGAAGTTATTAGCAAGTTTCAGCGAAGGATTTTGGGAAATTAACCCCTGGGGCCCCAGAGCACCACTAACAGACAGCTAGTTGGGAGCAGATGAAGAGCAGTTTCCTGCTGGATGCCTGCAGCATACTGGGGCTGAAATCCAGGCCCTTCACAGCATGGTAGAGGCAGCCCCTCTCGCAAGGACTAAACTTTTCAACTTCTGCTGTTAGGAAGAACCGCTGAAAAAAACCATCTGCGAGGCTGTGTAAGTTTCCTTGACAAACTGAAATGAGTCAGCTGGAGAAATGTATAACATAACATATAAAAATGCAAACAATTTTCTTCTATTCCCTGAATGGTGCTCAAGAGGTTGTGAGGAAGTTTGCAGTTTCTTTACGAGTCCCTTTAGAAGCCACCAAAAGAAATGTTTGGATACAGACCACCAGGAGCTGCTCCTACATGGCAGAGGGACTG